GGCAAGGTCGTCACGCGTCCGAGCAAACGCGCCCGTGACACTCGTCAACCTGGTGGACCGGTCGTGGGGACGTGCAGAGGTGACCAGTGGCCACATCATTGCATATCCGCACCAAATCGCCATCCCGCATCCTCCCCCCCTAGTTTATTGTGTCTCCTGCCGTCGTATTTTTTTTTCCATTTAAATTTTCATTACTTATATCGAATAATATTGACTTTATAAATTTCGGCTTTTTCTTTTTTGTTCTAACTTTTTTTTGAACATACAAAATTGTATAATATAACGGCAAACGTTTCCAAAATTGTTTCCGTTTTTGAAATTATATTCAAAATTAAAAATTTCATATTGTTTTTGTTCGATAAATAGAAAAAAAAAATTTGTGAACACAAAAAACTATTGTTGCTTTTTTCGTATTGTCGAGTGTATAAGTCAATTTTTACAATATAATAAAATATTGACTTGAGTTGTAATATTCTAATCTGAACAAATCTTGTAACAGGTATCCAGTGGCGGCGTGAACATTTTTCATTCATGAGACAAAAACGTCTTTAGGGATCACCCACCCCCAAAATTGTTGAGTGTCGAGTACATTTATAATAATAGGTACACACTACACACCATAGAAAAGTAATAAACATGACCACCACGGCACCACGACATCTACCCAGTACCCACTACCACCCACCCACCTAAATCCAGGGGCGGACTGGCTTCTTTAGAGCGGCCCGGGAATTTTTTTTAAAGTGGCCCAAAAACTATTGTCTAACCTTATTATAACATTTATGTTTAAAATACGACACATTTTTTCCATTGCATATTCAAAATATAAATAATAACAGCAGATATATCATGCGTTTTAGGTAATATATTTAATTTATTGGCTTAAGGAATTAATAATTTATGAAATGTTTTGCTTTTTTAGGCTAAACGGTCTATAACCGTTTGGTGCTGTATGTAAATTAAAATATTTTTTTCAGTAGCCATTAAGACAAAAGCTTCTAGATTATTCCGTGTCATGCTGTTCCGAGAAGACAATTTCATTCATTTTTATAGTATAAAAAACAATTAAAAATTCAATAAATTAATTCATATTTATTTTATTATTTAAATATGTTGTTGTTGCATACATATTAATATATTATTAATTATAATTTAGTAAAATAGTTCACGACTCACATTGTATTGCCATTTGCCGCGCAAACCAAATTTTACAAAATTGTCTAAAATAGTATTATTTTCTATATTTATCTTACCTTTTAAAAGGCGATATCGGGATCGTAAATATTCAAAAGGTACGTGCTTCATTCCAGTAGTCAATGCAAAATATAAATTAACTATTATTAGTTATTACAATATTACAGACGACAGACTCGTGAACGAAATACGAAAACAGTATATATTATTTTTAAATAATATTATATTGAATTATCGTATACAAACAAATAGTGATACCGCCACTGATACAAACCCAAATGGTTGCCGGATGCGTTATGGGCTATTATTTCTATTTATATAAACTAAAATTATTTTTATAACTGTGTCTTAGAACAACAAAATATAATTTTTGGTATGATTATTATCGTATTATTTATGTTATATTTTATAGATTTTAAATACACCAAACACTGAATACTATATTATTAAAATTTAAAAATCATAATATAAGTTAGTTATTTCAGTTATTTGTACAATCAAACTGCCCCGCCCGAGACGGCCTATAATCCCATTATTCGACAGGCCCATCGGGAAATTTCCCGATCTCCCGATCTGCCAGTCCGCCCCTGCGGCTAAATCGCCATGGGACCCGGGTTTCATAAAACCCTTGTCACGCCGCCACTGCAGGTATCTATTACTGTACTTGGAAATCACTTTTCGACGGTATGAATGTTTTGACAGTTGTACAATAATATAATTATAGGCATAACCGCACAATAATATAATTATAGGCATAACCGCACAATAAGTGGTTCGACCTTTATCGAGTACCGAGTGAAAATGTAATACATTTGCCAGGTATATAACATAAATTCTCAGACATGGCCACAATAATATTATTCTATATTGTTATCACTCGTCATTATTTGTCGATCATGTTTTCTTCCATACCATGTTTTAGAACAATTTTCAAGTCACAATAAAACAAAAAAAAAACATAGCACATTCCTATCGTAATAATATTATAATTTATAATATGTATTAATTAAAAATGCTTAAACTTACTATTAAGATTTCCTATGTATCGTTAGAGTTGATATTATTAGCTGTCGTGAGTCTAATTTGGTATTCATATAACACTATAGATAATATAGGCCATGAGTATTAACATTGCTTATAATGATTAATGATTAATTAATGAGCTCGTAGACGCCTATACCTGTAGGCTGTAGTAGGTAGGTATATAAACTTGAAACCTTCATCATATGGGAAATAAGCGAAGGTGTACAATACCGTAAGTATATGCAAACAAATTTACATTAATTAAAACGTGATAAAATGTACATAAAAAATATGAAAATTGGTTATATTTGTAAAAATAAATTTACATAAATGGGTATGGATATCTATCTATATAGTTTGCAGGATGAAGAATAATCAATTTTATTACGAATAGGTATTTGCATACTTTCTTTGTTTTTGATATTTATAATTATAATTATAATTTATTTATATGTATCAATGCCATTAAAGCCTGGGTTAGAAAACGATTTATTGAACTTAATGCTTATAAATCTAAATTCATGTTTTTTTCATATAAATAATTCTAAAGTCCCTTTAAATTTTAAAAGATGACATCACCTATTATTATAGCTACAGTTGCTTAAGTAAAATACATACGTCATACTTGTAATTGCAATAAAATACTCGAAAATTTTTCTAAAATTAAATATTTTGGCATTATCTTCGATCATAATCTTAAACGGAAAGAGTCGATATTTTATTGTATTTGTAATTTGTAGTCTTATTATAAATACTAGCTCTAAGTGTAACTCGGGGCCCGTCGGACTCGCTGGGAGTGGGTACCGATTTTGGAGACAATAAATTATAAAAGTCGCAAGGGTTGTAAGACGAAAGTTTAGGATTTGTGATAAGGATTAGTGATATGGATTGGAGATAAGACTAGACGCTTTGGCGGGAATGTTAAAAGTTTGAGCGTCTAGAAATCCGACACAAACGTTGTAAATGGATAGGCTGGATACGATCTCCAAGATCACCTATATAGAGTATACCTGCATGGTGCTTTATCTTATGTAAAAAGTGTTTGAGTAAAAACATAAGCTATTACCAAAAGTTCATTACTTAGTGAATAAAAACATTTGGTTTATTCTATTATAAATTATAATTATTGTCCAGAAAATAATAGTCATGAAAACTTGGCAATTTGACCAATTTTTATTAATTTGTGGTCATTTTACTGTCAGATTTTTTTTCAATTGTACATAATATTATAATCTAAAAAATCTTGTTAGGGAAAATTATAATTTTAATATATTTCATATTTTTATTAGAATTCTTTCAAATACTTTAGAGTAATGTGTATTTAATTAGTTAAGTATAATATTGACTTATTTTGTACTAAACAATGTGTGTACTCTATACATATTCTTTAATTCTGTTGCAGGACATGACACATGCAACTAGACTACTGGATCATCAACCTCCGGCTAATATAATTCTAAAATATATATAGGGTACTGAGTAATGTAAGTAAGTGAGTTATATAGAGTGTACCCAGTTTACGCGTACACATTAAAGGAAAACAATACCCCATATCCTACATGGAAATTATTTTACCTTTTCGTGAAATACTGTATTTATATTTTATAGGTACTGTACTACTGTGTTATTATAATATTTATAATTATTATTATACCATAGAAACATTAGAAACACTCAGTGCCGCAGTTAGGATTCTTGGGGCCCCGGACAATGTCAATGTATGTAGGGCCCTGAGGGCTGAGGTATATACAAAAATAAATAATGATGGTGATTTTTTTTTAAAAAGAATAAAAGTATAATTTGAAGGCCTACTACCCAGTGACCAGTGACCATTTATAGATAAATATAGATATTATTATGGATAAATAGAGGCCCCATCCTTTCGACATCAAATTAGATAGCACAATAAATTATAAAAATGATTATTTTTATTTAATATATTTTAACATTATATTACAATGCAATTTTTTAAAAATTTAAAATAGATGAGGGGCTCTCTGAGCCAACAATTAGCGGCCCTATACAGGGGCATTTCCTCGGCTGCCCCTGCGGTTGTTGCGGCACTGGAAACACTATACAATAGACTTATGGTTTAAAGTTTTGCAAAGGATGCGTGAACCTATGTAGCCAAAATATTTATAATTTATAATTAGGTATTCATGTTCTAACTCAGAATAGGTGACACATACATTTTAAATACCTAAACTTTAGGACAGGTCTTCTTACTCTGCTAATAGTTTAAAATTAACATGTTTATGACTTTCTCCACCGTCTATTTATTAATGCAACTAATGCAGAGTAATTACTAATATCATCAATCACCATAACTTCTGAATTTGCATTTATTTTCATGTTTAGTATAGTATTCAAAAATAATTTTTTTCTTTTACAATCAAAACCCTACCATTATAAAATTCACCAATATAAATAAACAGCACTCACCAGGTTCTTGACTATGTACTCACCATTTTTATAAAGAATCATAATGTTCAAAATTATGGGAAAACCAAACCATTTTTGAATGTGATGTGTCTATATATTATATTAAAAGTAATTGTAATGTTTCCATATTTTATAAAATTATATTACACTATTAAGTTCACAATCCACAATTTAATTTCCTTAAGATTATTATTTTAAACATCAAAACATAATATACAAATTAAATTAAATCCAATATTATAAAATTAAAACTGTTTAAATCATATTTTTGAGATAATATAAGGTTATTATTCTAATTTATTGTTTTTCTAGCTACATCCGTCTGTGACTCGATTCCCAATTTATACTTTACATTCAGGACAAACAGACTGCTGCATTGGAACTCCACATTCCATAACACAATAAAAGTGGCCATTCCGACATTTACGCCAATGCCCTTGAGCTTTAATGCATTTCGAAAAACTGGTGGACATATAACATCATGAATTATCTGTCTTTCTTCAACAGTTATAACTTCCATTCCATCAAATTTATCATAAATTAACTCAGTATTTTTTTTTATTTCTATATCTCTGTCAACAGTATATATTTTACAAGACATTAATAGAGCTTCCATTTTGCCTATTATAACTTTTAACTGAATCGCATAAGAACTATCCATATCAAGTGCCTTCTGAAATTTTGAATTGGACAAAATCTCAAATAAACTCACAATCCTAGCACCACGCGCCATCTCCATGTTAATATCAAATTTTTGCTGATTTGACAACTGCTGTGCATAAGTGAATGCAACAGAAAGAATCCAATCAAAGTGATTAATAATAGTTTGTTTTCTTTGGATATCATTGAATTTATTAATTCTATATTTATACTTTGAAGTAGTTTTGAACAAATCAATGACAAAATTTAATGATTCAATATCATTGGCAGGTAAAAGGAACTTTGAACGTTTACTATCCGAAAACCGTAATAAAGGCTTGCAAAATTTATCCCATAATGGTTTGATACTATCACATCTATCATCATCAATATAATTAAAAACAAAATTATTATTAAAATATTTTAAGGAATCCATTATTGTTTTCGTTTTGCCGCGAATTGCAGCTACTTCTCCATACTGTTTTATTTTTATTTTTGATATGTCTTCTAATATCACTTTTACATGGTTCATGAAACGTTGGGTTTTTAAAATAGGTATTTTACATAATGGACACTGTTTCAAACATATATCTTCATCATTTAGGTTCATCCAATCTCTTAATGCTTCAGATTCTATAATATGTTCACAATCTTCTAAATAAACAAACCTAAAAAATATCACATGATTAATATTATATAATATTAATAATATTATATAGAAAAATCACTCTGATACACAACACATGTAGAATATTATCAGCTTCAATAAATAATCAATAAATATAATTCAATATAATAAAATTTTTATATAATGATAATTAATATGACATATCAGTGGCGTATATACAAATTATTTTCACTATGGGCCAATTTATTAGTTATCACTAGTCAAGCATAGCACGACTAACATAGCCATAACCATACATTTTTTAGGAAGCTGGGTTGTTATAATTATGACATATACAGTAAAATAAAAATTGCGCAATTTAATTTTATAATTATTATTTAAAATTATTTTTCAAAAATATTGACAGTGTCATTAATATATTTTAATGTTATCTTACTAAGAATTTAACATCAGTCAATAAGTCATCAAAGCAAGTCCTGACAATCTAACATTTTCTTGTTGATTCCTCAAAAACGATTTTAATCAACCACCTACTTTAATCATGGTGAAAAACTATATACAGTGTATATATATGTATGTATATACATGCAATGCTTTAATTGAACCTGCAATTTCACTATGGGCTCTGGCCTAGGGGGCCTCCCCCCTATATACGCCACTGTGACATATTATAACCTTGGAAATTAGAATGTTATGTCAAATTGAACCATTAGCTCCTACAAAATATATATAAAATTACTGATATACTTATATCTACTTATATAATTATTACTTGAATTTTTAAATAAAAATCATATACAGTAGTCGCTCGATAATTCGAAATTCAGGGGACTGAGTTAAAAATTCGATTTATAGAGGTTTTCAATTTACCAAGTGTTCGAATAATGCGCGATCACTTTTTTTTGTCGGCTATCGACAAACATGTGTACTTTATGGGACACATATTGGGACTGACTACGTTTTATTCGATTTCAACAACGGTTTACCCATTGCAGAGGTTTATTTTGGTAAAATAATACGATTAAAGTTTAGACTAGGTAGGTAAGGTATGATAACACTTATAAACTACGATAATATTTAACTATCGTCAATATTAGTTTCATTACGAATACGTCAAATAGATTGTACATAATCTTTAAATGTACATAGGAGGTACATATGAACTTACATATAATCGAGTTAAAGGAAATTTTAATTATAGAGGTTCTTGAAAAAAAAAATTGAATTGTAGAGTGTATCCAACCGACAGATATTTCGAATTATCGAGGGGACCGGAATACATGTATTTTCTTTTAATTATAGAGGTTTTCTCAGGGGCCTCAGTGTTTAGTTCGATTTATATAGTTTTTTGAATTATCAAGTGACTACTGTACACATTAGTATTAAAAAAAATGTTATCAATGAATTTTCCACCCGAATTCATACCATTTATAAGACTATACGTCTGAAATCTGAATTGATCCGAAAATTGGCACAGTCTAATAAAAATTTCTAGTTCTGCTTATGATAATTATGTTACAAAATATAATATATATTGACACACTATAACCTTAGTCTATTATACCAAAACAAAATATATGCTTATATAATATATAAAATTAGTGATTAAATTTGAATTTCATATATACTAACAGGATCACTAATAACTCCCAAGATTGGTAACAGAATAAAAAATACAAATGTCCAACAGATATTCTTTCTAATTTACCTTGCATTTGGATCATCTTCATTGCCAAAAACTATTGTAGTAACTTCAACTCTTTGACAAATACGGCATAGAGGGGGACAAGGTTCACCACAAAATCCTATACACTCATGCCCACATATCAACTTGAGCGTACAAGGCTTATAACAAGGTTTTCGATTACATATTTCATAACATTTCCTGGTGCATTTCAAATGTGGACACTTCCACTCACATTTTTCCTATTAATAAAATCAATATAAACATATAAATTATGATTAGAATATGCAAATACTTCCAACAGCATGTTTATTTGATTGAAACATCAAAAGCATCGCATTATGTGCTACAAGCAAACAAAAATTAAAGTTGAAAAAAAAATGTAAAAGAAATAATGTATGTATACATTCATAGTTTTATTAGTTATTTATTACCTCGCAAGGTACACATGCATTACCACACAGACGATTACATTTAGAATGCAAGCATGAATAGATGCATTTTTGATTACAAGGTAGACATCGTTCCTTACAGGGGAATTTACATCTGTTAAAATAAATTATTATACATGATTATTGATTACAAATAAATCTATGGGTTTTAAATAAAAAATGTACACATACGTATGATTGCATGGGTTTATCTTGCTACAAATTTCACTACAAGGTACATGTATGCGCCCTTGTTTACATTCTCCACATGTTCCCAAACAAATATTGTTACAATTTAATTTTTGTAGACATGGTTCACGACACTTATCAAGTATATATTGGCTGTCCAGTTTGAATTCTACAATATATCATGTTTTTTTTATTAATAACCTAATATAAACCATAGGCTTGTATACGAGCAGTGGTGAAATGAACCTAAAATTTATAATAAACACGAATACTTTTAGTATTACCATTTACCATTACTATTTACTATTTAGTAATTGTTTTTCACACATATTGAGCACCCATCTAGTACTCCCACCTACCCATAAATATTAAAAAATCAAGAATTACCCGCTTCTCAGAGACCACAATCGTTCCACTATTGTACACAATGGCAGCATATGCTGCCCCTGAAATTTTTTTCTGACTGCTACAGTAACTAAAGTACTATACATTGAAATATGGGACATTAAATATTAGTGTTACACAGTATATATTACTTCCATATAACTATATTTACACAAATTATATACAATGCACGTCATAATTTATAATTTATGACACACGGATACGTATGACCAAAGAAGACCCACCCTTATACTAATGTTGGCAGTTCAATGAAATATGCATCCAACAGAAACTACCAGAGACCCTTATGAGATACTTTCACCCACTCCAGAGACGTCAAAAAAACGAATTAAATTCATAAATAAAATTGAATTGCGTCATCTTATTTAAATTTAATAATATTAGTTACCTAAGAAAATTAATGTACAATTATTATAGTAATTAAGTAAGTTATGTATTTAATTGTAATTCATTGTAGTGTAAGGTAATGAAAACACAATCTATTTCTTCCACTGCAAAACAAAAAAAAATAAAAAAAAAATTATAATTATAATTAAAAGCAATTATTATATATTTAAAAATAATTCTACTGCCCTCCTTATTAAAATTTAAAAATTGTATGGAGTTCCTCCTCCCTTTAATAGTAAAAAAATCAGTTATTGCATTTTTCAAAAAGAAAGAAAAAAACTATTAATTAATTTAAAAAATAAGAAGAAGTATCCGGAATTATTTATTATTGATAGTTTTATTATTTTTTTTATATTTTTATTCGACAGATCGATGGATAATTGTTTGTAGTATTGTTTTTATCCAGACAATAGATTTGTGAGTGAATACTAATAATAATAAAAATAAATAATAATCGATCATTAATTATTCATATTAATTAGTATGGCCCGATTATAATATATAATACTAGTTGATCCCGTGCACTTCGTCGCCCTTTAAATGTATCAACTCAATATGAGTTATGACTCAAACTTTGTTCAATTCGTTATTCAATATTCGGTGTATGGTGTTCAAAATTTATCTTATCTTTTACGTTGCCCGGAATAAAAATTCTGAATCGCAATTCAGAATGTACTGACATTATCAGGTAGGCAATCTACCTGCGGTAGATCGCGGACCCCGTGCTGTTTGTACGGAAGTGTATGATTTAACTCTAAATTATCAAAGTTAGACCAAGTTTATTTTGATATAATACGGTGGATTAATATAACAAATTTGGTTGCTCGTAAAAAATCACAACTCTTAAAAAAATTATGATTGTTGAACTCCTTTTGGGTGTAACTTGCTGGGGTAAGTGCAACTCAGCCACCCTGGTAGGCAATGTTCAATAATTTGATTTGATGCAAGCTTGTACCTGATCTGCCCGAATAACCAATGACAACCAATAAATAAATGCTAATTTATATTGTAGACTGTAACCAATGGCAACTATTAATAAATAAAAAACGAATTTCCAATTTCCATCTTGAATCTCAATGTCCCTGTTTGAGCACCTATTTAAAATGCGAATTTCGAAATATCCTTTCTTAGCGCACGTCTACATCATAATAGCTAACTGTATGCCGAATTTCAGCCAGATCCGTCCAATGGTTTGAGCTGTGCGTTGATAGCAGTCAATCAGCTTACTGTTTTATATATACAGATATATATATATATATAATATATATAATAAAACAACATTACCATGACAATATTTATTTATTTACGGACATGTACGCTTTCGCGTTCGTACGGCCGTCCGTTCGTACACGCCGCCCGTTCGCTTTTTTTTTTCCTCACTACCGTGCGTAAAGAAGTATAACTTCAAAAAAAAGACGTAATACTAATATAATAACAAACCTTTATCCTTGTCACAACATAAAACCCAAACTCTATTATGACCACAAGCAAGTAAGCTATTTTTTTGCAACACTATTTCCTTGCAATCTTTAGTACTGCAATCTTTTGCACATACATTTTTACAAATATGCCCACAATCTAATATTCGTTCACATTTCTTAGTGCAAAGCATACGTTCTGGTATAGTTTTACATTTCATTGTAATTGTATGGCCACAGTCTGGTATAACTTTTGTTACCTGAAAATAAATTTTAATAAACGAAACAGATAGATACATTTAATATCTAACTTACTTGATTTTCACAAGGTTTACATTTTTCATAGCATTTAGATTGGCACTTATGGTCGCATTTTAATGGACGATCACATGGAAGAATACATTTAATTTCATGAACATTTAATCCACAAGGCACATCCTTCTTTGTGTGTCCACAAGGTAGAATTTCCTGAACTTAAACAGAACACAATGAGCAGTCTTCATAACACATCTTTTGACATTTGTGATTAAGAGAGCACTTTAAGCTAATATTTTCACAAGGTTTTGAGCATTTATACTGTAGATAAAATAACAATATTAAAATATAAAACAATTTTTTTAAAACTATAATTACCTCCTCATGTTCTGGATCATCATTTTTGTGACAATTTTTTTCACAAGCATGACCACATTCTAACAGATCTATACATTTATATGAACAGTATGGTTTTTGATCATGACATTTTTTCAAAATTGTATGACCACATTTTTCTAGGACTAATTCCACCTAAATTTAAATTTAAGTAATTATTGTTTGTCATTAAAATAATATACCAGGAAAATTTATAGTAAAAAAACCAACCATTTCTTCACATGGATAAGTAAGAATATCAACAAAACACGATAATGTCAATTTATGACCACATGGTAACAGTTTGACTAATGGGAAAGCGCACTTTCCACAATCCATAAAACATTTTTTTTTACATGGATGGTTATAATCACAGAACCTATGATACATTATTACATAATAAAATAAAAATATTTTTCAAATAAAATGATAAAAAAAAATATTATACTTGTCACACGGCTCCATGCATTTAAATTCCAAATGCTCACGGTCATTAGAATGACACATTCTTGTACAATAATGACCACACAATAGCAATGATTTACACATCATAGAACAACCACCACCTTCCTTAATAATATCAAAATCTTCACTTTTTACAACCTTTGTCATAATACCAGAATGAACTGCACATTCTAAAGTCAATTCATCACCTTAAAACAAATCATGTTAATAATTTAGAATTTATCTAAATAATACTAATAAATAATATATTTTTACCATATATGAACCCTGATTTACTAAAGTTTCTTTTATTTGTTTCCACAAATTACCAGAATTATACAAATTATCCATGTTACCCATTATGTAAAGTCCATACTTTGCTCTTGACAATGCAACACATATTCTGTTCTCAGTTTTTAAAAATCCTACATTTCCCTTTTCATTACTTCTGACTAGTGATAACAATATTATATCACTTTCTTCACCTTGATAATTATCTACCACAGTGATTTTCATGTCTTCTAACATTGGATGTATTTTTCTTAACTTAACATAGGTATTATATAAAAAATTAATTATTAACTCAAAAACCAATAGTATCCATTAGATTTGTATACTTATGTATACAAAATATAAATTGAAAAATGCATGTTAACTTACTGAACGAATTTTAAATAATTGACCACTGTAAGTCGTTAATATTGTCACTTGATCAGTTTTGTATCCTTGTAAAATTAAATGTCTAGCAAACATAATTAAAAATCTAGCTTCATGATCATTACTTTTGCTTGAAATTTCCTCAACCTAAATGGAAAAACAAATACATTTGTATTAATTGAATAACACCATAATAAGATACAGTCTCAGATATGACGTACTTCATTTTCATATAAATTATGATTTAGGAAGAATACATCTTTAGTAACACCACGGATGTGTTTTCTATTGTTAACAGAAATATGATTTTTCAATTCATTGTATATTGATGGACTTATAAGAGATGCTATTTCAGGACGCATTCTATGTTGTTCTCCTAACGTGTAACAAGGTAGGTACACCATTATTGACCATACGTTCAAACAATGAAATATCAAAATTAAAATCTTTCGCCAATTTGTAAGCTGCATTACTAGGACGTAGTTGCTTATGGTCACCTTTAAAATGAAAAATTATGATCTTATACATATTTTTTCGTATGGTAAATTATAAAAATCTACCTATTAATATTAGATGTTGGCAGTGACTTGTTAAAGAAGAGACAATGTGCGCCTCCAAAACTTCGGCAGCTTCTTCAACGACCACTGAAAATTAATGTCAACTATTAAATTTGTTTAAAAGAGTAAATTAAAATTTTAATGTTTACCAATAGGTGACTCTAATCCCTCCAACATTATTCTATGTTTAGCAGCACCAGTAGTAGTTAATGCTATTACATGCATCTTATTTAGAAGCTCTATGTTTTCCAACTCTCTTAATTCAGCATATTGCTTATAAACTTGAGTATACTTTTGTTCACAATTTATTATTTTTGGGTCAAACATATCTTTTGTTTCTTTTACCCAACGGAAATATAAAGACCATCTTTGTCGCATATTTAATGCATTCAATTTTTTTATTGTTTTTGGTAGTACTATATCATCATCAATCAAATTCATCATATTAACAAAATAATTATGTATTTTTTCCATTACACCTAAGTTGAATTTGGCTTCTTCAGATTCATTAAGACATTTCGCATCAAAATTTGATTGATTCTCTAACTGTACACTCTCTAGATATTGTTCATTACAAGCTTCTCTTATGTTAGGGTTGCCATTCGTCCCGATTTCGCCGGGACACTACCGGTTTTTACTACAGAGTCCCGATATTTTTCATTTCCCGGCCGGGACGTGGATAAGTACCGGTTTCTTAAAATAAGCACCGAATTGTTCACGTGTGAATAACAAACAATAAATAATTGTCGGAAATTTCCGAGATAGCCGAGGACCGATAATTTTACCGATAAAGTTTCATAGCGACATAGCGTATACAATTTATAGAATAACGATTAGTCGTATATTATAGTCATATATTAGTCTTCACTCTTCAGTCATACGTATTTAGTATTAAATTACTTTGCTGTGTTCTGTGTTGTAGTTACTAATTTTTATTTTTATGGTATTCTACGTATTATTATTTAATTTTAATATTACTTTAAACGAGGAAGAACTGTATGAACAATTTAAAATGTTTGAACAATTTTTAAGAAATAAAACCGATGAATGGCAATGCAAAACATCTGAAGAAAAATGGCTGTCAATTTTTAAATCATTTAAAGAGAATAATATTGATTATTCTATGTTATTAAAAATTGTAGAATTTGCATTTGCATTGCCTGGATCTAACGCTGCAGTGGAGAGTATATTTTTTATTGATGAACAGTTGTTGGACAAAGTCACGAGGTAATTTATGCATCAATACAGTAGAAGCTACTTTAGTCATTAAGACTAATTTGGAAAATAAACCATTCCAACAATTTTATGAAGACCTTTCGAAAAATAAAGATTTGCTCATTTGAGTTCATACAACTGCAAAATATTCAACAACAAATCAAAAATCAGAAACGGAAGCTTCTGGATCTCAAACATGAAAAAATTCGAAAAATGAAGTTAGACGAAATCGATGATGAATAATGATGCATATTTAAACAATACACATATTAGTAAATAAGTAAGACCACTCTGTTTTAAATTAAAAATTGTGTACCTAATTAATTTTTTCAGATAATTTAAAATTATATTTATGAATAAGATAATAATAATACTATTATTACATTTTGTGCTATTTCTAATTTTTGACTTTTTTATTTATTATAAATTATAATATAATAAAAATATTATATAACGTTGGACTAAAAAAAGTATTATTAAAAATTCCAAAGAATGTGTTGTCTTGTGGGGGGAGGGGGTATTATAGTGTCCCGACTTTTATTTTTGTATAAATGGCAACCCTATCTTATGTCATATAATGTGATAATATAAATAACAACATTTTTATGATTATATTTTAAATCTAAGTTATTTGGTTTATAATGTTTTGCTTCATCATCATTATCATCTACTTGTTTAATTTCTAAAAATTTTTCTGAATGAAAAACATTATTTATCAATTGATTCTTTATTCCAATTATAAACCCCATAGGATCTACACTAAAATAATTAGAATCTTGAAATAACCAAGAGAGAAGATCCAAGTTTGTTTTAAAAAAATAATGATACTGTTTGGGCATACCATTTTTTAACAATGATAACTCTAATATTCCAGCATTGTATGATACAACTTCACTACATCCCTTAAGATATTTTATGTTCTCCATAGTAGTTTTTACTTGATCTTCAATATTCCTAAGACCTTTATTAGTAGTTACGGATTTTCTGTGCTCACGAGATATATTCCTTAAACTATATTTTTCTAATATTTCTGACTTAGATTGACCTCCAATTCTAATAACTTTGTTTGTGAAGCTCAATATACCTTCCATAAACTGATCTAAAGCATGATTTGTGTAACACACAACTAAAATTGGTTTGGTGAGAAATGGCTTATCGTATAAATTATTTATAATTGTTTTCATAATTTTCAATCCAATGAACGTTTTTCCAGTACCAGGTGGCCCTTGAATAACTGTAAATTCTTGAGTCAATGCCGCTTTAAATGCTCCAAATTGCATTTCATCGAGTCCTAGCTGTTCTTTAGTAGGCCAATGATTTTGACTCAGTACTTGAAATTTGCCTAATTTATCAATTTCATAGTAATTGAGTTCAGGTAACATGTCAATATAATATGGATAGTCTATTTTATTACAAGCTGATATTATATACTTTTCCATAGGGAAATTATCATTATTAATATTTTTAAGAACTTCCATCGAACATTTATATGGTTCAAAAAACACTTCACTCTCTACCATAGTAAGAGATGTATTAAATATAGGTTTTGCAGCTTCTAATAATTGCACTATTAACTTTCCTTGTTTCAAAAGTTCAATCTTTCGATCCATAACAGTACCCAAAAAAAAAGTTCTAAAATTATTTCCAGAAAATATTAGTAAAGAACCACACATAAACCGTTTTGCCAGTTCCCAATCGATTTTTAATTTATTTTTTATGTCAAAGTTTATCAGATAACCATATTTATGGCGAACAAATTCGCCTTCTTTTTCAAATTCAACATCACTATAAATACGTATATTATTTATTTTTTTTCGACGTGTATGTAGTTGTTGATCATTTATTTTGCTTTTATAAAATTGTATACCTTCTCGTAATGGAGCAATAAAATCTTCACGTAAAAGACGAAATTGAACATCTAAATAGTGTTCTACATTCTGATAGGCTCCTTTTGATATATTAGGTCGTAAAAATGGTTCTTCAGATTCAAGATCTATCGCGGTTGGATATACAGTTAGTTCCCTAAAATTTTCCAGTGGAGTCATCAGTTGTGCAATGTTTTCAATTATCAATTTTTCTTTCAATTTTAATTTTTCTGTTAATTTAGTATCATTGATTTTTTGAAGCAGGTCATTCATTTTTACTATTGTAGTTTCATTTACTTTAATAAGATTACAAAAACTTTTTATACCATTTAAAGCTATACTACTACTTACTATTATTTCCTTTAATTTTTCTTCTGCAGTTTTTGGAAATAATGTAGTTATTGATTGAAACACAACTAAACAATCTTCATAAAATATATTCATATTGTTGCATCGATTTAAGTTTTTTTCTGTTGGTGTACTCAATATATATGTTTTTAGGTGATCAAAAAATTGATTACATGTTAGTTCTGTTAATAAATAATGTTTGCTTTGTATTAATTCAGTAGAACAAATCTTAGCTGATACTTTCATAAGCAAAAAAATCCAATCTGGTTCTTTATTTTGTTTAAATAAGTCCACGAATCCATTAACTTTATTTGACATCACAAATACAATCTCAGATGGATCCTTACTACATAATTCTTCAAGGCGTTTAAGTCCAAAACTATACTTATCTATTTTATTTTTTTCAGTATTGCCATTTTCAGATTTTTCACTATGCTCAATTGTTTTTCCTCTCCATATTTTTTGTCTATTTTCTGAGTTTTGTTTGAATTTTGATTGTTCTTGTTTATTTCCAGTATTCTCATTTTTTCCCCCTTTTTTCTTAGGCTTAGAATTACTTGAGTCTATCTGTTCATTTTGCTGTTTGGCTGATTTAATTTTAAATTGAATATTTTCTGCATTTGCTGTTGGATTTGTTCTTATTCTTCTACGTTTAGAATTTTGACGTTTGTCATTCTTGTCTATGTATCTATTATTGTACATTTTGTCTCCTATCTTTAGCTGGTATTTACATTTGTATCCTGTAATAAGTTAAACACATAGTAAGTGATATATGTTTAATTTTGATATACCTACATGGCTACATATTTTTAAAATTATTTTATATATGTTATTTTACAGTGTTATTTCGCATAATTTTTTCTTTTAGATTCTGATACGAGCTTAATTTAGTATCAATTAATATAGGTATTAGGTATTGATTCTTTAATGATGTGTGTTTTTGTGTCTGAAGACACTTTTCGATTTTCACGTTGAATATATTTTCTGGTAAACTAGGTAGCTTTGTAATCTAGTTGGTACTTTGGGAGTCGGAAGTAAAAATCTCTTAAGTTTTTTCATATGAAATGCAAAAACAATAAAAAAAAAAGGCAAGAAAGTAGGCTCTGCTTTGTTATATAATAGGTGTCCCGAAGAGGGGTCACTCAGCACTGTAATGGAAGTGTTAGGTAAAATAATTTGAATAATGATATAAAATCTTTGTATATAAAAAATGATTCCAAACGATGGCGTTAATTTTTTTGTTTACAGTATGAATTACTTGTATAAAAATTGAACATTTTATCAATTTTTACTAAAAAATATTTTTTAATTTTTGAGATTGTAGAAATTTTTCAAAATTTGGTATTAAAAATTAAAATGCAGTTAAAAAAGACTATCATGCTTATACCATGTATCAACTGCAACTAAGGAGAAATCTTGTATATAATTTTCAAGCTTTTTGACCTAACGAAAAAAATTGTATTGAAATATAAAGAAAAAAGTCGCTCTGCTGTACAGTAGGTTACAAATGGGTCACTGTAATGAGTAATGGATAGTATTAAATTTGAATTCAATGATATAATATCATTGTAAAAGAAAAACGATTCTGAGCAAAAACGATCAGTCAGCCTAGAAATTACTAAGTATATTTAATGATATTATTGTGAATAAAGTAATTTATATATTGACCAATTTACGTGGACCCTTGTTTTAAATTTTCAATTCTTAGCTATAAAAGTTGAACATATTATAAATCATTAACTACAAAATAATTATTAAATATTTAATATTATAAATGTTGTCAAAATTCGACCTATAAATACTTTGTGCCAATGTATTTTCAATATTTTTCAACTGCTATTGTTACACTTACAATAATAATATATCAGGAGCCTTGCATTAAATGTTCACGCTTTTTTACCAAACAAATAAAATTTTATTGATATTTATAGAAAAAAAAAACTAAGAAAATTTAAAACAGACAATGTCTGTAAACAGCTCAAAAGAGTCAAAATATTTTTTAAAAAAAAAAGGCATGGTGTATAGAAAATATATAAACAGTCAGTAAAAATCTTATGTATCTACGGTCATTTGTTTTAGAGTTGCACCAAAAACCAACATCGATTTTCTCGAAAACAGATTTTCCCGTTTTTTCTTAATTTGAAAACTACAATAGTACCCAAAGTACAAAGCACTTTTACTGCCTAAAAGGTGATGACAGACACAAAAAAAATAATAATAAATGTGATCTGCTGTACAGTAGGTTACAAGTGGGTCACTGTATAATGGATGGTATTAAATTTGAATTCAATGATATAATATCATTGTATAAGAAAAACGATTCTGAGCGAAGACGGCATGTCAGTCTAGGTATATATATTATATACAAATCTATGGGATTAAAAAAAAAATTGAAATATAATAGCCACCTATAATAAATTCCAAATTAATCATATCACAATACCATTAGGACCATTAGGTACTTATAACGAGTTATACATCAACAACAAACCCTGATCTTATCATAGATATATAATAGTGTACTTTAGAAGTTTCAAGTTCCCACAATCATAACAAAATAACTAAAATAGTTATTCTAGGTTTTTTATTATGTAATTTCGTCCAAATTTGAACTCAAAATGACTATTAAAATAAACTGTGCTTATGTATTTTTTAGATTTTTTCGTGATTATTCCATATTTTGTCAATTTTTGAACTTTAAATGATTTAAAAAAAAAACTGTGACAAAGGATTTTTAATATTTTTCATCTGCTTTTGAAACAATATAGTAGGAGCCTTGTATTAAATTTTCAAATATTTTTACTCAACAAATAAATTTTAATTGATATTCATAAAAAAAAAAAACTAAAAAAATTGGAAAATGTCCCTAAACAGTTCAAAATAAATCAAAATATTTTGAAAATGTTATCGTGTATAGAAAATGCAAATATAAACAACCAGTGAAAATTTCATGTACCTACGGTCATTTGTTTTAAAGTTACACCAAAAACCAAAATTGATTTTATCGAAAACAGATTTTGAGTAAAAATTCCCGTTTTTCCTTAATTTTTCTTTTGTTTTTCAAGGCGTTTTTGAAAACTACTGTGAAATTTTTACTTTTGTCCCCCCAAAGTACCAACTAGATTCACTTTCCTATCAGAAATGATACTGTTGAGAAAATCCAAGCACTTTTACTGTTCTAAAAGGTGATGACAGACCCAAATAAAAATTAAAAATTAAAAAAATTTAAAAAAAAACACACATCATTGTAAAATAAATACATTCATCGTCTCACTCAGAATCTAAAAAACTATTAAAAATTGAAAATGTCTATAAATAGCATAAAACTAGTCAAATTATTCAAAAATGTTATCATGTACAGAAAATGATAAGTTTAGAATTCGGTGAACATTTTAATTTTAAATATATTATATTTTGTTTTTGAATTATAACAAAATAAGAAAATTGTTCCGATCATCATTCGTTAATTTATGGGTAAATATCCAAAAAGTTTAAATTCTAGACGCTTGTAAAATTATTGTGGATTTATACTTAATACTTATTATTTTTATTTCCACTATCAATAATCTATGAGGAATCTTGTATTCAATTTTCAAGTTTTTTGACCCAGCTAAAATGTATTTATCGACACTTGTTAAAAAAGAAAAACTAATCAAAATCAAAATTTTCTGATACCTATAAACATATGAATATAACTCAAAAAGAATCAAAATACTTTTAAAAGTGTAGATACAGTGTGTATAAAATGATAATATAAACATTCTATGAAAATGTCATGTATCTACGGACTACGATTAATTTTTTTATAGTTACACCAAAAATAAAATCAATTTGATCAAAAACTGGTTTTGTCTAAAACTTTTCCGTTTTTCCTTACATTTTTAAAAGGATTTTATAATTATTTTTTAATACAACGTTCCTCATAATATTTGGTTGTTAGTGTAATTGAAAATGTTGCTTGCGTTCATTGCCCGCAGTTTTTGTTACAACCATATTTACATTTTAGATTCTGAGTGGAACGATGAATGTTATTTTACAATGATGTGTGTTTATTTTTTTTTTTTTGTTCACAGTTTGGGGCAGTATGACTGCTTCGATAATCTTCAACAGTATATTTTTCCATGGGAAACTTTCCCAGGGAAAGTGAATTTAGTTGGCGCATTCGGGAGGTTAAATTTTAAAATTCTCAATAGTTTTCACGAGCGCCGGGAAAAACAACATAAAAATTAAGGAAAAACGGGAATTTTTACGCAAAATCGATTTTGGTTTTAGTGTAACTCTAAAACAAATTAACGTATATACATGAAATTTTCACTGGTTGTTTATATTTGCATTTTCTATACACAATAAAATTTCCAAAATATTAGGATTTGTTTTGAACTGTTTAGGAACATTTTCATTTTCCATTTTTTTTTTAGTTTTTTTTCAATAAAATTTTTCTTATAAAATGTTATTTGTTGGTGGATGAAAAATATTAAAAATCCTTAGTCACAGTTTTTTTTTTATAAGCATTTAAAGTTCAAAAATTGACAAAATATAGAAAAATCACGAAAATTAGCAAATTATTTTGAGTTAAGAATTCGTAAAAATTTTTCTTTTTAAATCTAAGATTTTAAAATGTAATACAAGGTTCTTTATAAGATTATCTACCTTTATCAAAAAAAAAAAAAAATCTATAAGAAAGTCAAATTAAATTTTTATGAGCGTTTGAAATTCAAATTTTTATAACATTGGATATTCACTCGATTTCTCATGTAGCAATTTCTTTATTTTGTTGTAATTCAAAAACTAATAACTGTAGATACATGAAAATTTCAATGAATGTTTATATTAGCATTTCCTATACACCATACAGTTTTGAAAATATTTTGACACTTTTTGAGCTGTTAACGAAATTTTCAGTTTTCAATGTTTTTAGCTTTTTTTTCTATAAATATCAATAAAGTTTTATCTGTTGGGCCAAAAAGTGTAAGAATTTAATACAACATTGAAAAATGTTAAAAATACATAGGCACAATTTTTTTTTATAAGCATTTGAAGATCGAATTTTGACAACATTTATGAAATTTAAAATTGAATAATTATTTTGTAGTTAAAAATTTTATGTTCAACTTTTATACTTAAGGATTGAAAATTTAAAACAAGATTTCATGTAAGTAGTAGTTCATGGTAGTTAATTCTGTTACCAAAAAATCTAAAAAGTACATAAGTACAGTTTATTTTTATAGTCATTTTGAGTTCAAATTTGGACGAAATTACAAAATAAAAAACCTAGAATAACTATTTTAGTTATTTTGTTGTGATTGTGGGAACTTGAAACTTCTAAAGTACCTACACCAGTGGCGCACCCAAGGGGGGGGGGGGGCTTTGGGGCTTAAGCCCCCCCAACAAATAGTTTTTCATTAAATTACACATTATTATAGAAAATATAGTATAACAATGATAAATGATAATGTTTTATTTTAAAATTTTGTTATTATGTTAGATACACATATAATATATACATAATAGTTCAATACTACGCGATAAGGTTTGTGACAATCAATATTATACTCTACGGTGGCTATCGTCGATTTTTATTTCGTTGAAAATTATTTTTAGATTTATAGATACAATAACGATTACGTACGGTCACGGACTAAGATATAATGGACTGGAAACGAGCAGCTTATCATGGCCACGAATGTATGTACAAGAGGCAAAGTGCGGGGGGTCGTTATCTGTTCTTGGAGTTCACAGCGCCCTCTGTATTTAACACGGACTAAGATACAAATTGTGTAGCCAAATAAAACCACCGGTAGCGCTGAAAACTTCAAGAACAGTATTCTTATCAGCTAAGTGACATCTTTTCGTGGCCGTCCCCCGATCCCCGCCGACCATGTCGTTTCCAGTCCATTATATTATCTTAGTCCGTGCGTACGGTCGACTTTGATTGTTAACTACGATAACAATGATAATTTATAGCGTTTTCCACCACACTGCACCGACTGCACTGTTGGCGTCTGGTGCACATAATGTATGTTCCATCTGGAATACTGGTGCGCACTGGTTGACATTTTTTATGTTTCACCTCACTACACTCGGCCAGTTTTTTGCACCGAGTCGACGGTGGGCTTTATCATTTTCCTGATAAAACTGATACAGTCTGATAATATTGATATAACAAATTTTACAATTGTAATTTTTAGTTATAATTTATAATTTATATGCACATATCTTATAAATATTAAATTATAATTTCTTAATTATAAACAGTCTAGTGCACATACTAGTCATACCTGCTTTAAATATTATAATGAATAATCATGAACATGATGTTTTAACTTTAATGAGTTATTTATCATCGAGCGAAAGCGATGACGATGAATTGATTAATTATATTATAAAACAGCCTGTTATAAGACCTAAGATTTCTAATTTTATTTCTAATGTTGTTCACTCATACTCAGATAAACAGGTATCATCATCAATACTCATTAGTCATTACACATTTTTATATTTAATAATTTGAATTAAAATATTTGAAATTTTGAATGTGCATTGAATGAGAAATAAAATATGATTTATTTAATATAATATACCTATTATTTTTAGTTTAAAGGCAGCTTTAGAATGGAAAGAGCTACAGCATATTATTTAATAAAAACATTTGAAGATTCTTCATTTTTCCCACAGCAGCATAAATATGAACCTGGTAAAACTTCAGAAAACTATATTCTTTCATATATTTGGTAATTAAAACAATTTTCTTTAATTTATAACCAAACAAAAATGAATAAGTGTTCCCTAAAGGTTTTCTGCAAACAAATCATGTTTACGAGATGTGGCTGAACGTTTTGGTAATGGTTTAACCACTCAATTCCGTATCAATGATAGAGTGATGAACTTTCTGATTGACATTTCACCCAAAGTTATAAATTTTGATGAAGGCATTACTAATTTAGCTAGGGAATTTAAAAAGGTAAGTACTGAGATACTTCAGATCAATTTTGAGTGTAATTTATATAATCTATACATTAAATAGGTACAGATTGGTAGTTGTAGAAAATAATCATCTTAAATCCTAAAAATGTATTAGAAAAGAATTAATTAAAAAAAATACATGTTACTTTGAGTTACAAATTCATAAAATGTTTTCTTTTTATTCCTATTTAAGATTTAAAAAATTAAAATAATATTCTTCATATATTTTTCTAACTATAACAAGAAATATTAACCGAAAACTATATTAATTTCTTATAAGAGTTTGAAGATGATATTTTTTTGATTTTGGTTATTCCCTCTAAATTATACTATTTCTCCTCAATCAATATTTATTTTGTTGTAATTCAAAATAATAAAATAACTGTAGATACTTGACATTTTTACCAAATGCTTATACTATTAGCATTTTCTATAAGTAGGTACGTGAAAATATTTTGAAATTTGGTGATTAATTTGGATTTTATTATAAGTCAATTTTTTTTTTATACCTACCATAGATAAGTAAATAATATATCTTATACCTAGACTGACATACCGTCTCCGCTCAGAATCGTTTTTCTTATACAATGATATTATATCATTGAATTCAAATTTAATACCATCCATTATACAGTGACCCACTTGTAACCTACTGTACAGCAGAGCACCTTTTTTTTTATGCTTAGGTGTCTGGAATGCCTCATGTCATTGGATGCATCGATGGAACATCTATTCCTATTCGAACACCAGCTCACAAAATTAAAAGCACTTATACAAATAGGCATGACATGCCATCGATTACACTACAAGGAGTGTGTGATTACAAAAAAAAATTTATCGATGTATTTACTGGAATACCCGCAAAGATCCACGATGCCAGAGTATTTGTTTTATCTGATTTAAGTAAAGATCTACCATCAATGTGTGAAAAGAAGTACAATTTACTTGGTGACGGAGCATATCCTATTCGAGAATGGCTACTTGTACCGTACAAAGACTATGGAAGATTAACTGAATCACAGAAAACATTTAATAAAACATTAAGTTCCACTAGAGTGCTGATTGAAAATACATTCGGTCTTCTCAAGTCCCGCTTTAGGCAACTTTTGCAGTTGGATATACATTCTGTCGACAAGATAACTAAATTCATAATATCATCATGTGTACTGCATAATTTATGTATAGATATGGATGACCATATTGAATTGAGAGATGAAGAAAATGAAGAATTACTCAATGGACCTGACGACACAGTGTTTGAAACTGATATGTTACTAAAAAAAAATGGTGAAACGAAACGAGATGCTATAAAAAATAGCATGCAATATCAATAAAAAAATTGTATATAAATTAAATGTTAGTAATAATTATAATTATAATAATATTCAGTCTTACATAAAATATTATGTGTAACAATATACTACAGTAAACATTTTTTTTTTATTAATTACAATTTATTTATTTCATATTTATGTATAATAAATAATAACCCATGAAAAACTATAAGAGAAAATAACAAAATTATAAAAAAAAAAACCACTTGTTTGAAATTTTAAAATAAAACAATATAAAACGAGTAACGACTAGTGCTTAAATCATAACATTATTCAACAGTTTTAGCTAATATTTATTTCATATTTATGTATAATAAATAATAATCCATGAAAAACTATAAGAGAAAATAACAAAATTATAAAAAAAAAAACCACTTGTTTGAAATTTTAAAATAAAACAATATAAAACGAGTAACGACTAGTGCTTAAAATCATAACATTATTCAACAGTTTTAGCTGATAATCCATACATAAAAATAAATACTCATTTATTTAAAATTGATCTTATGAGCTCCATTTTTTCTTGATGGCGCCTTTCTTTAGATTCCTCTTTTTCCTTTAGAAATTTTAACAACATCAATTGTGAGCTATCGGTTTTCATTTTTTTTGGTTTAGATTCTGTAATATCCTTTTTATTAATAACAACAACCTTTGTACTTCGCATGACTTCTGGAATAATGCTATCGTCCTTATTTGTTATTTGTTTCCATTCATTTTCATATTCATCATCCATTCTAGCTGCGCCTGTACTTTTGTTATTATTAACAATTACTTTTTTTCTCTTGCTCACGGTTTTATAACGATTTTCAATCTGTGTATGTGTACATTTTACACCAAGTTCTTCTTCCATATCTTTAGCTATTTGTTTCCACATATCTAGTTTTCTTTTAAATTTCTTCATCGGACCAATAAAATTCATAAGCTGTCCGTACTTTTCCAGCATAAACTTGGTCATACCATCAGTGAAAATAACTTGGTGTACAGCTTCTTTTTCATCTAAAACCCAACATACATATTGTTTAACACAGAATTAAAATAAAATAGTATTCGCTTAAAATCTACTGTACTCTGGATTTTTTGAGAAGTTTCATTGGAACATTCAACTGTAGTAGTCGTAGCATTAGTTTTTTTATTGGGTTTGTCCACTTCTTCATTTTCAAATTCAGATTCTTCGTTGACATCACTAATGTTATGCCAATCAATAGCCTGACTACACTGATCATCTTTAACATTTACTGACTTAGCTAAATTACAGAAGTTTATATTTCTAGAACAATATAAATACAGTATGTTAATATTCACATTTCTTTATTAATTAAAAATATTTTTTAATTAGGCATAATAAAACGTATGGGTGTAACTTGGGCAACTCTGGGAACATTGTCCTGTTTGAGTCATAGAGAGGGGTGGTGCCCCACATTGTTAATGTCTATGTTAAAATGTAAAAGAAAGCTACATACAAAATTTTAAACAAAGCTTTTCTGGTTAGAAGAGGATGTGGAGAGTACTTATTTGTTGTGAATAATAGATAAATAAGATGTGTTAAAATCTTATATAAATATAAGTCATTATAAATCATAAAATAAATCTAATTTACCTCTTAGGAATTGAAACTGTAAATTGAACATCTTTAACAAGTTCTTCCACATTAAGTTGAATAACACCTTGTTGCACACAATTTGTTAAAAATTCGACTATACTTGGAATACAATCATTACTACCTAAATGATAATCAATTATTAGATCATAAAAATTAAGTAAATATTTCCCTCAAAGGTGAATAAAGGTCTATACTGAAAAGGGAATTTTCCCTGTAGGCCCTCGTGTATGTCGGAGGGGGGCTAGGTCCTCAGTGCTACACAATTTTTTTTGTATAATTAAAATGATTAATGACTGTTAATAATAATCCTGTCTTGTAGAATCAACTATATTTGATAATTTTTTTTTTAACTACTAGAGGTTAATATTCTACAGGTCTCATTGAATATTTCAAATTTTATATTACTACCAATATTTTATCATACTTAATAATAAATATTAAACAAATATTAAGACCTATAGTACCTACCTTTAGTATTAAAAAAAAAAACAAAAAATTCCTTACAAGAAATTAATGATCTAGAACTTTCAGTTTCAAGTTGTTCTACACTAGTTCAAGTCGGCCAGAGTAAAAAAGCCCTTAACTAAATAAAAATAATTGTAATGACATTGCTGATTTAGGTAATTTGAGAGAGCAGAAATAGACCATGCTGTCTTGATGTCTGAACTAACAGAAATAGACTTAACCATATTTACGGGGGTTTTCACTTTTAATTATTCAGCTGAGAATTTTTATGTACCTATCTATCTAAATCAGAATTCGAAAGAGTAGATTATGAGTTATACATTTTTGTGTTCTAAGGATAATATTGTCTATAGTAATGGGTAGAATAGATTTGGACCATAGATGATTTGAACATTCTAGTAATAACTATTGATCTATCAATATAAATAATTTGTAAAAATTATATAAGTATAATGGATAAGTACTACATCTAATATTACACATACCAGCTATCTTACCTATATTTATGAAAAAACTATATTTAAGGATTATTATCCTTAGTATGAAACATGTTTGTATCGCCACAAAATACTCCTTAAGTAGTACAAAAAATATCAGAAACTTGAAAATACAGTCTTGGGGTATACTTAAAAATTCTAAAAACCATAATTGGAATAAATGTATTATTAAAGTAAAATATGTGGTAGAGCATGTTTAAAAAATATTCTGTATATACAGTGTTAAGGATCTGGGGTCTGAGAATTCTTTACTGTTTATGCACCCCCAAAAATATTTGTCTTGTACCGCCTATGATTAATATTATTGTATTTTTGCTGTTAGTTAAGTAGAAAAAAAATAAAATAATGAGAACCTGCCAACATTCTATTTTTACTTAAGTTGTTATATTCAATATGTAATGCGTGCGAAGCAATCTAATTATTTTTCAGATTGTTTGGCCCTTGAAAATATTTCCTTGTTATAATAATACTACCTGGATAGGTAGATATCCTTATTACCCACTATTAACTTACCCAAATTAATTAATTGTACATGAGCAGAACAGCTTAACTTTTTAGCAATCGCAACTATGAGGATTATTTAGCCGTAGTAAAATATAATATGCATTATGAAATATGCTTACCAGCTTGCTGTATATAATCTAAAGCAGATTCTTCCACGTTGAACAAAAACGTTTTGTGGCCCAACAATTGACCATCGATATCGATTTGTAAATTATGAGTGGTCATTTTATAATTATACAAGTTGACAATTTGAAACGTAGAATAGTTATAGTAGAGTAGGCAGTAGCAGACGGCAGTACTAAAGTAGACCGTAGATTCTGAGTACCTACGCTTCGGCCTACGGCTACTACATACGATTGAACACTCAAAATTCAAATGACAATTTGAAATTAATAAATAATAATTGAAGCGCGGGTTTTTCCAAATCATTGTCATTATTCATTATCAGCTGCCATAGTGTGAAAATGATAACGAGGTTATGTTTCATCTACACTTGCACCGGCCTGCACTGGTATGGTTATCAGTGAGCTATCAGTGAACTGTTTGAGTGCAACCGTGGTGCAACGGTGCAGAGTGGTGGAAAACGCTATTAGAGATGTGCAAAACGGGTCAATTAAACGATCCGGTTCATTCGGATCGGGTCTTCCAAAAGACCCGTTCGTGTGATTCGTTCAATATTATTCGTTCGTTTTTTCAGCAGTGGCAAGTCTAGGGTGGGGGTGCATAGGAACCAACATGACCCGTTCGTGTGATTCGTTCAATATACTGTATTGTTCAATGTACTCTAAATATAATGCATATTATTACTTTTTTATGATAATGCATAACTAAACTAATAATGTGTAATATTTATTCTTTATTATCACGATCGATTCGATTGTTATCACATTCAAGACGTACAGTGTAGGTATTCAGATGTAAAAAAACGAACGATATTTGGCGACCCGAATCAAGTCATTCGGCGATCCGGATCGGTCTCGTTCACTACTTTGACCCGTTCAATGTGATCCGTTCGTTCGCGAACAACACATCTCTATGATAATTATGACTTTCGACTGTCTGTGGCATGAAAATCTCGTTTAGATAATTCAGTCTGATCGATTTTTTACAAAATTGGTTATTTAAAAATTAGTTTTAATTGTTTACTTGTGTGTAAGGGAAAAAGAAAAATTATTAAGCCCCCCCAAGCAAAAATTCTGGGTGCGCGCCTGACCTACACTATTATATTTCTATGATAAGATCAGGATTTGTTGTTGATGTATAACTCGTTATAAGTACCTAATGGATATTATGATATGATTAATTTGGAATTTATTATAGGTACCTACTACCTATTATATTTCATTTTTTTTTGATACCATAGATAAGTATATAATATCTTTTATACCTAGGCTGACATACCGTCTCCGCTCAGAATCGTTTTTCTTATACAATTATATTATATCATTGAATTCATATTAAATACCATCCATTATACAGTGACCCACTTGTAACCTACTGTACAGCAGAGCACCTTTTTAGATAGTAAAAATGAACAGAGAAGTTTTTCAGAGTTCAATTAATACTATACCATTATAATGGTAATATATACAGTGTGTAAACGGTAATCGAGAACACTCAATATCTTTGCGTAGAGACCTGCTATTTGAATTCCGTTTTTTTGGCAGTTGTTATGACATAAAAATACACATTTCTATGGTCTTTGAATTTTTTTTACTTAATTAGTCACGCGCATGCGCATGTCAACTTTTTTTTTTTAAATGGAAACCCCCTGCTTTAACCACTAATTATTTTTTGCCTATTTTTTTAATGAATTTTGGTAGTTGAATCAACTTTCTAAGTCCAAAATTGACCAAGTTACAGCCAATCAAAAAAAAGAAAAAATTAGAAAAAAATGCTCTCGATTTTCAGCTTTTTGATTTTAACTCTGAAAATAATTATTTTAGGATTGTTAAACATTGACATTTTTGTAACTATTTATTACGGTGATATTCATAAGTTATTTTAACTTCAATTACCTACTGAATAATTTTCTCTTTAATTTGTGTAATAAATCATATACCTAACTTATTATATCAGAAAAAACGTAAATTAGTATGTTGTTTATTTCTTTACATTTAATGGATCTATTAGAACGTATTAATAATTATTAATTAATAACAAATTCAATTCTTATTTAAGTTACCAATTTATTTAGTTAATAAAAATCTAAAAATAAAAAAAAAAATCTAACGAATAAATTGTTCAAACTGTTCTCTGCCGTGAACAAAACATGATTCAGCGCGAGAAAATTATTCAGTAATTGAAGTTAAAATAACTTATGAATATCACCGTAATAAATCGTTACAAAAATGTCAATGTTTAACAATCCTAAAATAATTATTTTCAGAGTTACAATCAAAAAGCTGAAAATCGAGGGCATTTTTTTTTCTAATTTTTTCTTTTTTTGATTGGCTGTAACTTGGTCAATTTTGAACTTAGAAAGTTGATTCAACTACCAAAATTCATTAAAAAAATAGGCAAAAAATAAGTAGTGGTTAAAGCAGGGGGTTGCCATTTAAAAAAAAAAAAGTTGACATGCGCATGCGCGTGACTAATTAAGTAAAAAAAATTCAAAGACCATAAAAATGTGTATTTTTATGTCATAACAACTGCCAAAAAAACGGAATTCAAATAGCAGGTCTCTACGTAAAGATATTGAGTGTTCTCGATTACCGTTTACACACTGTATATATATATATATATATATATATATATACCAGTTTCGAGCAAATATTTTATCATTACTTGTGGGTATTATATTATCTTTACTGATTACATTATTGATTTAATAGCAATTATTTAAATCATAAATCCTGATCATATTAAACTGAGTTATATTGTAATGTATTTAGTGCTTACTAAGTAATTAAATTTAAATTAAAAGTACCTATACATATAGCATAAGTAGTCTGAATATATGTGAAGAAATATATTTATTGTATAATTATAATTTATGAAAAGTATTTTTTGGCACATTTTTATTTTTTATTTAATTTAATCGGCACAATATAAAACGATGTTTGCCTCCTCTGCTTTAAATCAAGTTTTTGAAGATGTCCGAAATTGAGCACTTACTAGAGAAAGCAATCAATAACAAAATTATACACACAGCATGTCTTGTACTAGATATTCATCAAGACATCAAATATTTGACTAGTATATGGGCCTTAAACCGTATTCATATAGTCGATGCTTAAGAATAAGTATTGCTTAAGCTAATTTTGATAATTTAAAAAATAAAAAATGTGTGATAATAACTAAAAGTATAGTTCAAGGTAGGTCTTGGTTTCGACCAACCTTAAATACAAGTAATAATTTTTTTTTTCTTTAACCAAAGTCTTGTTTATGAATCTCATTTGAGTCATAAGTATAGCTTAAACAATACCTACTTGTTCTGAAACATCGACTATGAATACGGCCCTATAGGTATTACTGCATTAGTCGAGTTTATAGAAAGTAAGTACTTTACTATATAGGTACATAGTAATAGTTTGATTAATTAAACCAGTGATGTACCTAACCCCAAAAAAATGTATGGGTAAACACCAAAATCATAAAGGAAAATAATGTGCCCCTCCCCCTAAACCATACTTCTATGCTAAAAAAACTTTAATTTAACACAAAAAATAAATTATAAGCAGATGAAACATTTCAGGGTATAATTCTAGGTTAGCAACCTACTGATTTCTTTTTCAAAATGTTTGTGTTAGCGTCTCATAAAAAATGTAAAAATAATAAAGGATTTGTTTGGAAGTTATTGGTGTAAAAGTGATAAAACTAAAATGCGGTAGGCTCGGAGATAGGTATGATATGTAACTTTTGATTTTGTTCACACTGACTCCTCTGGCCATTGCTGCCGGTTTATAGAAAAAAAAGCTAAGTTTTGAATTTACTAATCAATTATAATATAATCATTAAAAACTAAACGTTTTGAAAAAAATGGAACAAATGCACTTTACCATCCCCCTCACGAATTTCAAAATTTTTCTCAAGACGTGTTTTTCAAGGCTGATTTCGAAACTGTTTGATTTTTTTTGCGGAAACCATTATTCTGGAAGTTATAGCCATCCAAAGTTTGCGATTTTACGTTTATGCGCATGCGCGCAACGCTACTTGACTGCCACGCGCTGCGGTATAGCAATTTTTTTTTTTACGTTTTTTGATGAAATCTGCTGGCGTTGCCACTCCCTCGTTGAGCTGCACTCGGAAAAAAATATCGAAAATATCCCCCGATTTGCTGAGTAAAACCACCTTGGGTAGGCCTCGGTTTTCTTCAAAAATTCCCGGAACCTTACCGTTCAAAAGTTATGAAAGTTCAAAGTTTCAGTGATTATACGAGTGTATTGGCACTCGTCGCTGCGTTCCTAGGCGCCATCGCTCAGCTCCGCTGATCGAAAAATATCCCACGACTTGCTATGCAACACCACATTAAGTCGATTACAGGGTAAGTTATCTCGTAGTATATGGGCAGTGATTATACATTTACACATTCAAAAACAAAATAGCAAAAAAAAAGGGTGCTCGGTAAAGTAGAAGGCATTAAACTATTAAAGTAGTGTTGCGCGCATACGTAAAATCGAAAACTTTGGATGGCTATTTGGCTATAACTTCCAAAATAATGGTTTCCGCAAACAAATTCAAATAGTTTCAAAATCAGCGTCGAAAAACACGTCTGTCAAAAAAAAATGTTGAAATTCGTGAGGGACTTGGTAAAGTGTATTTTAGCCAAAAAAAAAAAAATGTTTTAAAATATTTAATTCTAAGTACTTTTTTTAAAAAATTGTCGAAAACCCGTACTTTTTGAAGTTTTTCGCCGAAAATTTCCAACTGCAGTTAGTCCGACCAATTTTTTTACATTCTGATGTATGAAACCAAAACCACAGACTTCTAAACTATAATACACTAGATAAGGAAGTTTATCCTATATAATTTACATTGTTACAAGGTCGCCATTTTGTCGGTTGGCAAAACATTTCATTCATTAAACAAAATGTATTAGGAATAACATCGTTTTTAATGGTAAAATAAAATAGTAAATGTAAGATGATTTACATAAAATATTTATTTTTTTTTTTAACAACAGGTTTAGAAATAATAAAATACAATACAAGATAAATCATAATTAATCTTATTTGCCGTATAAAATACCATACAATTTCCACCGACCTTGAAGCTTCAATTCA